GCCCCCATTGAGAACCAATGGTATAAAGCAAGGATATTGGCTGCAAGGCAAAAGAGCTGGCAAATTATTGTTCTTTCATTTGAAGCAACAGCAACAAGGTGATATCACTTCTACTATTAAGGATGCCTGGGCAGAGCATATAGTGAATCTGATCTGATAGGTTAACAAAATGTGTAGTTTTATAATTCACTTTATAATACTGAGTCACCGACTGTGGCAGAAGGAATTAATTATTTTTAAACAATATTTTTCTGAATGAACATTGTCCTGAATGAACAATGTCAGGCTGTTTATCTAGATGCATTTTATTTTTTCAGGAAATAAAATACACTGTTAAGTGTATGAAACCAGGATTGTTCTCTTATCCTGGCAGTCATAGAGAACGATAATAAGACTTCCTTGGGTTGGCTGCTGTGGCAGTTCCTGATAGGGTTTGCCTTGGGATTCCTAACTGGCTGAAGAAGTGCTCATCAGCTCCAGTGGGGTGCCACAGGGTGCGTCCGGGGCCCCATATTGCCTTTTCTGCACTTTTATTAATGGCAAAGATGAAGGGGGGGCATTATCAAATTTGTAGATAACACCAAACTAGGAAGATCTAAGCAGAGTTTAACAGTTGGCTGAAATGAACAAGATGGTCAGGGAGAAATACAATATCTTGCATCTGAGGGGAAAAAAGAAGAAAAGCACAGACATAGGAAGGTGGAAACCTGGCTTGGCAGTAGTTCATGTGAAAGGATCTGGGTGCTTTTGTCATCCACAAATTAAACAGAGTTAGCAGTGTGATGATGCACCTGCTAAAAAGGCCAATGCTGTGTTGGGATACATTAACAAGAGCATGGAATCCACATCACGGGAAGTAATAATTTCACTCCTGTCCTGTCCTGTCCTGTCTTGTCCTGTCCTGGTTAGTCCCTACTTGGGATACTAGATTCAGTCCTGGGCACTGCAATCTGTTAAAAGGACACCAACAAACTGGTGCAAGTTCAGAGGACTACCAGGATGGGGAAGGGACTCTAGACCAGGCCCTGTGAGGAGCAGTTCAAAGATCTGGGAATATTTAGCTTGCAGAGGGGTGGACTGAGGGGCGATGTGAATGCCGCCTTTCGGGTGTCAAAGCTTGACATTCCTTTATGTCAGGAGTAGAGAGGCTCTCTGTTGGGCCTACAACCAGTTGGTTGAAATGGCAGGTCAGATACTAGGAGGAATTCCTTTTTGGCAGAGGCTGTCAACCAGGTTGTACATTTCCTCTTGAATGGTAAGCCTTCAGTATGCTCCCCCTTCCTGGAGGTCTTCAAAGAGAGGCTGGATCATCTGTCCAAAACACTTACAGATCTTGCATGTAGCAGGGGGCTGGAGTCGTCCCAACTCTGTCACTCTGTGGGATTGCTTAACATAGAGTGCTGTGGTGGTCTGGAGCAAAAAATAAGAATATACTTTTTTTTTTTTTGTCTGAGCTGGGGTGCTCTGGGTCTGTCTTTTCCAAAAGGGGCAAGACCTCCATTTTGAGTCAGTAAGCCTCCCCCTCATCAGTCCCCCAGTTTCTTGAGAATGAGAAGTCAGAGGCTGCCTTTGGGTGAAGGACGGGCCTGGAACAAGGCACACCAGGAGTTGGTGTTTTGGGCGTGTATGAGATATGCCTCCTTTGGATTCCACTCTTGACTCCTTTTCATTGATGCTTTTAGACACCAGAAGCTGTTCTTCCTTCTCCTCCTGTTGTCTCTGCTCTGCCAGTTCCTGCTGAGGCTTCACTCATCCCATCTTCCATATCACAGGTTTTTATTCATTTTATGCCATTTGCATACTAATTGATGGGTGCTTTTATTTCTGTTACTGCATGCAGATTTGGTACATTAAACTCAGTTCAGATGTTGTTACTATTACTGTATTTCTTTACTGCTCTAGAAGAGAAGTCATGTAGAGATGGGGGGAAGTGATGAAGAAATATATTTTTGTGGTCTGGTTCACCCCAAGAATTTACTGTATGTCATCTGCTACAAGGGGGGCAGTGGCATCAGAGAGGAGATTTAAGGTTGGACTGGAGCTGACTGGGCCTCCCTGCTTCCCAGGCAGCATTAATAGCCAGATTTCCAGAACACTCTGGACCACTAACTGTCCAACCCCACTTTCATTTGGCTTTGCGTGTTGGGCGATCCCAGTTGGAGTCCTCTAGATTGAGGTAGTGTTGAAGGATGCGGGGCTTCCTTTTAAGACAGGGGTTAGGGACCAGATTGTCAGAATCTATTTTGTGCAACTTCCTGGTTATTTGGTTTGTGTCTGTGCAGTTGTGGCGTTCCGAAACCCTAAATGTTTGGGGGCCAGTTCTCTAATCTAAGAGTCACTGTGTAGATCAAGTCAGAACCCTCATACCCCATCACCCACATTCTGTTTCTGTGGTGGCCCATCTGTCCCTTTCAGTCATTTGTCTACCACAGGCTTCATAAACTCAGCTATTCCATGGGGCTTTCTTGCCTGAGTGCTTTTGGTGTTGTTTTTCATGGTCTACATTAAAACAATTACTTCTAAAATACTACTTGAAATGGTTGTTTGATTAAAATATGAGCATATATTTTGTTGTTCTTTTTAAGTACTGCCCAGCATATTGTTAATAAGAGCTGTGTACTAAGATAAATTTGGGTTGCATTTAGACAGACATTAGTGGGCAGAAGACTTGCCTTGTGTTTGTTCACAAGGGCTCAGCCTTTCTGTCCAGGTGTGAATCGAGCTTGTGTGCAGGTAGACAGAACCTCTGCTTTTCTTGTACCCATGCCAAAAAGATGCCCAGTGCAGACTTGTGTAAACATGAAGTTCAAGGGTCCCACCAAGAGGGGCAGAGACAGGTCCACCAGGTCCTCCTGCTGTGGCTTAATGCAGCACTTTAGTGATGACCTTCCTGCTTAGAGGACCATTATCCTCATTTGTCCCCAGGTCTGCAAATGACACAACATTGGCCGAGATAGCCAGTATCTTGTAAGAGAGAAATATAATCCAAAAAGACTTCCATAGGTTAGAACAGGAGTCCTGTCATACTGTAGTCCCCCAAAATGGTGGTATTTGTGTAGTCAATGTGAGGAGCAATGCCCCAGGGAGTCCTGGCAGCTTCTTCTCTGCTGCCACACGCCAGACCCAGCTTTGAAAAAGGTTGAGGCCTCTCTGAGTTGCTTGGGATAGAGAAAGGGCTTGAAAGTAACATCATCACATTCTACCCTGCTTCAGTCACACGCCACCTCGAGGATTGTACGCAGTTTGGCGAGTCAGAGAAAGTAAAGCAGACTTAGAGAAAGATGGTCGTCCGGCTAGAAATGAAGCCCTTGTAGAGAGGCGGAAGAATCCAGACGTGTTTAGCCTAGAGAAAAGATGACCGACGGGGCATGCAATAACTCTTTTCAAATCCCTGAAAGGATGCCTTGTCGGAGAAGGTCGAGATCCTTTGTGTCTTCTTCGGAGCAAAAGGCTCAGAATAATGGACCCAAGCAAGAGGGAGGCAGAGCCTGAATCTTAGGAGAAACTCCCTAAGAGCAGTTCCACAGCGAAGGTCACTCGCTACCAAGGGGGTCGATGGGTTCGCCCTTGCTCGATGTGTTCAGGAGGCTTTGTGGGGATTCAAGGGAGAGCACCAAGCAGAGCCTAGCAAAGGGTCCTGGGTGCTGCTGCGTTTAGCAAAGTCTGCGCGTGCGTCTTCTGCTGTGGCTTGCAGCGGGCTGACCTGGAAGGCAGTTGCCTGCCTGAACAGTCGGCTTGCTCACTGGTTTTGACCTGAAGTTGGCCGGGTTTTCTGACTTTAAGTACCCAGTATAAAATGTAGTAAAGTTGGTGAAGCTTTATGATTTGGCAGGCTCTTACCTGAGATCACTGAAACACTTTTTTATTTTACTTTGGGTAGAGATTTTTGCAGGGGAGGGCCAAAGAGGGCAGTGGGATGTAGTTGCATGGCTGAGCGGTCAAAGAGCTTGAGATGGAAAAGGGGCGGCAGGAAAGGGCCCAGGAACTGAGCAGGACATACATCTTGTGGGGTCAGACTTCTTTTAATCTGCCTTTTGCATTTTTAATTTCAAGGCAAATCCCCCTCCAGTCGTGGTAAACACAGAAGCTCCGGAGACACCAACTTACGTAAGTTTCTCTCACTGCCTGAACGCTTGAATCTTTTTGAGCTCTCTGAGAAAAGGCATCAGCTCCGTGTGCCGCTGTCTTTAAAGGATGCAGAGCAAAGTCAGTATTGTGGAAGCAGAAAATGGCCCCTGATCGTGGCCTTGTTGTATAAGTCTGTGATGAAGACATGCATAGGCTATGTGCGGGGGGAGGTCCGTGCAGCAGTTAAGGTGTTAGACAGGCTGGGAATCCCAGGTTCAAGTCCACCCCTAGTAATAGAAGCTCACTGGGTGACTTGGGGCCCCAGTGATTATGTCTCAGCCCAAACTGCCTCAGAGGGTGGTGGTTCTGGGAAGAATTGGAAGAGCAAGTGCTGTGTACAGTCCCTCGAACCTCTGAAGGAAAGGTCGGATGGTGATCTAATAAATAAAAATGAATAAATTAAGCATGTGAAGCATGATTAATACCATGTATTTGTTGATATGGTATGAGCTGCTGGCTTATATTAGAAAAAAACATGGACGAGAAGAGACTGTCCGTAGATTCCACAGTGGGTTCAGATGTCATAACAAATCTTGGCTGTGACAAAAGCAAGTGCAGGTGGGTCTCGATTAGTGTGGTTAATGCACAAAATGGTCGCATTATTCAAATTTGCGCTATTCAGAGTCATATTTCTATGGAAAATAGGACAATTGGTTCTAGCTGGACGGAAATAGGCAATTAAAATGTCTAAACATAAATTTTATGCGTTTATTAATGAAATATCCTTTCACTGTTATATAATAAGGATAAACCCATATCCAAAGCGTACCTCCTCCTGTATTCTGCTGTAGTTTTTCAAAATGAGCCTCTTCTTTTCTGAGCTATCCTTGTGTGGACCCTTCCTTTTCTCCATTTTGCACAAATGATGATTAGTGTATAAAACCCCAATGGCAACTGTGCATGCACAACTGTGCGCACGGTAGCCTCGCACTAACTGAATTTTGGCTTGCATTAAATGTGGCCTGGTATCAATTTATAAACTGCACTAAATCAAATTTTGGCCTATTTGAACTTGCATTGATCGTGACCTACCTATAGAGGCTTGAAGAAGCTTTTTGTTCTGAAGGTCACGTGTTGCCCTTACTGTTGTCAAAGGCTGTGTTGCTGAGACAGCTGCCAAGACTTGTGCAAAGCAGGGGCCTTTGCACAAATTTGCCTTGTGTGCCAATTGTGCCCTTTCCTGGACTGGGGCCAGCCTTGCTCATGCTCACTCATGCCTTAATCTTTGCCTGATGGATTACTGCAGTGTGCTCTACCTGGGACTGCCCTTGAAGACCACCTGGAAGCTGCGACCAGTCCAGAATGCAACAGTGCATGGAGTTCTGGGTGCCCAGCAGTTCACCCAGGTTACCCCACTGCTGTGTGAGGTGCACTAGCTTCCTTTTGCTTTCTGGGTCCAATTCATAGTGTTGGTTATCACCTTCAGAGCTCTACGTGGCAGAGGGTCAGGTTATTTGCGGGACTGCCTCTTCCTGAGGGTATCTGCCCATCCCACTGAGCCAGATAGGGTGGGCGTCTCCATGTCCTCGCCTTTAAACGCTGTCGTCTGATGGGGCCTCAGCAGTGTACCTTCTCTGTGACTTCCCTAGGCCTTTGGAACAGCCTCCCACCTGAGGTTCGAAGGGCCTCTTCTCTCCTCCCCCAAGTGTTAGGCTAGGATGGGGTTAAGTCAGGAGGCTAATAGTTTGGTTGGTCTGGCACCTGGGTGGTTTTGTTTTTATTCTTTCATGCTTTCATGATTCCAAAAATGTCCGCTGGCCCTGAAAATTCCTCTAGACTTTGCTTATGGACAGAGGTTTTGGGGTTGGTTGGAATATTTGAAATGTTTGAGGTGATGTTATAGATGCTCTTACCAAAAGGACGCCATGGCTGCTGAGGACACTCCCTGCACCACTTTTAATCCTCCCTATCAGATGCTCCTGATATCTCCAGCTTATCTTGCTTAAGGCATACTTCCAAGCAAAGCACCAGTTTTAGAAACCAAGATCATTCTGCAGGCTGGAATGTTGCATTGCCACAAGATAGCTTCCTTTCCTCCCCTTTCCCCTCCTCCTGAGAAAGGAAGCTGCTCTGGGGGCAGAGTAGCGGCTGGTCTCCAAGGGAATTGTCTGTAGGCCCCAGAGCATTTTCTTTCTCCTTTCTGTTGGCTTGGCGATTGGTCCATGTCCTCTTTGTGTTGTGGAATCACTTAGTGAATTATATTGGAAGCTCCAGTGAGTCTCATTCCAAGCCAGCCACTTGCTTACCTGCTGCTGCTAACTGAATTTTTTAATAGTGAGTCCATTATTTGTGATACAAGCCTGCCAACTTCAAATTGGAGAAGAGAATACTTTTCTTGCCTTCTGAAAGCACTGTGGGTTTTCTTTCTCCTCATCAAGCCATTTTTCAGCTTCTGGTGTCCAGCCTCTTTCTTTAAGCTGTCTTGGCTGATAATGTTTGGGGAGGAGATCTGTCCCCATTTGATGCTGATTTGCCTCTTGGCTTCCACAGTTCTCCTCCTCCCCAAAACCAAAAGAGAACAATCTGGCTGCCTGCTACTCCTGTGGCTTGAGCTTGGGTCTTGATTTCCTACTAGAGGGCAGTCATGGGGTCCAGGCAGGAGTTGGCCTTCACCTGAGTCCCCAGTCCCTGTCAGAGGGCCATCAAATTTGAGTTGGGTGTCCCTGTTTAACATCCCCATGAAACTGCTGGGTAAAGTCATCCATTAGTTCAGGGTTTGGTATCATCGGAATGCTAATGATAAGCAGCTTTACGTCTCAATCCCAGGCTGTGCAGGGACTGGAGGCTATTTGGGTCTGGATGGGGTGGAACAGGCTCAGCCCAATCCTGCCAAGACTGAGTGGCTGTGGCTGTTTGGGCCTCCAAGGTCTGGGACATTTTCAGCTTCGGTCTTGGATGGGGTGTCCCTTCCCCACTTGAGACTAATGTGCAGTTTGGGCGGTCTCCTGGACATGCAGCTACTGATTGAAGAGCAGATGGCAGCTGTGCCCAGAGGGTCTCTACACAGGTCCGTCTTGTGTACGGAGTACTGCAACACACTCTACATGGGGCTGTCCTTGAAGATCATCCAGAAGCTCAGCTGGTGCAAAATGCAGCAGCATGGGCAGTAATGGGCAGACAGAGAGTCGCTTCAGTTAAATGTTGCCATCTTGCAGGACTGAGTATGCCTTCTCTGTTGCGGTGCCTGCCCTCTACAGGTAGTCCTCGAGTTACAACTATTTTTTCAGTGACTGTTCGAAGTTGCGGCAGCGCTGAACAAATGGTAATTACGCCCAGTCCCTGAAGTTACAGCCATTGCAGTGCCCCCATGATCAAAATTTGGGTGCTTGGCAGCCTGCCTGCATTTAGGACCACACGGGCGCTGCAACTACCTCCATTCGCCTATCTTCCCGCCCCATCTCTGCCCTTTTGGCCACCCTGCACTCTGCTGGTCCTGCCGGCCATACCAGCCGCCTGGGCCACTGCCCCACACTCGCTGGCCCTGCTGCCCCTGCAACCCCCGGCTGACCTTTGCCATCTTCTTCCTGCCACTGCTGACAAGGCAAAAAAGGCAGGTGTATGCAAGAAGGCCCCAGCTGCTCCGGTATGAAAGAAGGACCCGGGTAGAAGGTCCTTCTTTTGAGCCAGCACAGCTGGGGCCTTCTTTCATGCGCCTGCCTTCCAAAACCTTGCGAGAAGGCTGCGTACAATTCAAACAAGGCCATGTGCAATTTGGGCAAGGGTTAACCCTGTTGCCCATCACCCTCTTGCCAGCTTCTCCAACCAGCGGATCAGCTGTCTCCTTGCCTTTTCCTCTTGCTCTGCACCTACCCAGAGAAGCCTTTTGGGTCGTTTTTGGCTTTCACTGCAAGCCTCAGCTCCTCCTGACTCTTGGCCTTCCTTACGGATTTGGGCTATTTCCCGATACTCCGCTTTTGTCCTGTGTTCCTCTTTCCATTTTTTAAACCTGTCCTTTTTGGGTCTTCCTGTGTCCAAGAACTCTTTATGCAACCACGCCAGTCTTGTCAACGGCTTCTTTCTCTTCAGTCATGTTTGTGTTTGAGCCTGGGTTCCCTCGTTTTTCACAATTTCCCAATCCTCCCAAATTGTCTTTCCCTTCAGGGTTTCCATCCATGGAATCTTTTCCCCTCTGCTTATGGAAGTCAGCTCTCTTGAAGTCTGCTCCCGTGTATCTGATTATCTTCCATTCTCCCTGCCTGCCCTGTGGGGAATGCCAGAATCGCACTCCTAAGGCTCATGCAGCTTCTCTGTTAGTAAGCGTTACATCCAGTATACCTGACCCCCTAATTGTCTCCTTCGTCTTTTGGACAAGGTACATTGAGAACCTGTCGGATCCCCCACTTTCTGCAGTTTCACTCCCACTTGATATGGAGGTAGTTAACCCCCCCCACCAGACACCTCAACCATCTGATTTGGAAAGATTTCATCCGTATCTTCTCCTTGGTTGGGTGGCCTGTAGTACATGCCCACAATAGTGCCATTATTGTTTTATTTTCCCTTACTAGTCACACAGACATTTTTGGCAAGGGTTTCACCCTTGGTGCCATGAATTTCCATACAGGTGTAATCATTCTTTAGGTATCCCCCCTTTTGTTGGGTCTGTTTCTTTGGAACAATTTATATCCTCCCAGTACTGTATTCCAATCACGAATTCCATCCCACTAGCTTTTAGTAGTACCAACAGTATCATAGTTGGCCCCCTATACTAGGACTTCCAGTTCTCCTTATCATTGGGGTATAGGCAGCTGAGCCCTTTAACACTGCCCGTTTTAGGGCTGACTGCTGCATCTTCTGGTGTATTCCTAAGTACCTCTTCCTTTTGACCACTTCCTTCCTTGTTGTAAGGATTGCTGCCTTTGGGTTAGAGAAAAAGACATATCCTCCTCATACCATTGTTCCTCTGCAACTTGTATTTGGAAGCAGGTGAGGCTTCCCCTAACTCAGAGGCTTTGCAGATTGAAATTGAGATCTGCACCTAGAGTTAAGTTGTGCTGTAGAATTTAATGAGTTTGGGATATCCTTCCTTTTCATTCCTAGTCATCAGTAAAAATACTGAAGAGTATAGGATCCAGGATTCATTCTTGTGGCACCTCACTCCAATTTGATTAAGTTTTATTGATAATATGATTTTAAAGCCAGCTTTGTATCTGGTTAACTGTCATGCTGTCTTGTCCAAATCAAGATCTGTCATATCTACAGCATCCCCACTATCTGTTAAGGATGTTACCTACTCAAAAAATGAGTTTAGACTGACAAGACCAGTACTTCATAAATTATTTCTGAAACCTGGTAATTATTGCATTGCTTACTTGCTTCTCACAGATAGATAATTTTTTAATTGGGTCCAGAATCTTTCCAGGTTCCCAGCAATGTTGTATTGACTAGGCTGCAGTTTCCCAGATAGTAAGAAGATGGCTCTTTTCTGATCGTGTGGCACTTTTCTACTTCTCCAGGGTTTCTCAAGATAACACATAAAGGTTTGGCAAAAGCATTGGCAAGTTACTTCAGTGTCCTGGATGCGATTCCATAACCATTTTCTTGCCCTTCTCAAATTTCCACCTGGTCACTGCATCCTGTCTTCACAATTTCTTGGTGAAACACATGCTTTCTTATTGTAGACAGAGTTTTATTTAGATACACAGTGGTGCTTACAAGTTTGTAAACACTTTTGAAGAGGGTTGAAAAAACCTCCATTTGTACTCAGTCTGCCTGACAGTGCACTGGTAGAGTCCAAACTCTTTGAAAATAGTTTTGTAAACTTTTCCAGCATGGTGAGCATCAACAGCTGTTTTTTTGGAGGTCCCCAGAATTCTCCTTTGTTTAAGCCATAACATACTTCCACATGCCTGTGATGCAAAGATCAGACTTTGACAGTGAATACCCAGAATTCTGTTCTTTAAATAAGGCAGAACCTCCCACATTCACCCCTGATTATCATCCCATTGACTGAAACACCTGACTCTATTTGTATGAAGCCAGAAAACTGGTTAACTCAGTAATCAGGTTAAGCGTGTTGTATGAATAGACCCTTTGAGTAATAAAATGTCCTCTATTGAATGGGTTTCTTGAATGGATCTTTCTCCAAGACCGGGAATAAATATGTTTATTTTCTATTATCCATAGAGAATATTTGTAAGAAATCTGGATTCTTTAACCCTTCTCCAGGCACTGGGAGCATTGAAAGGCTAGGTGCTGTGCACTGGGGCTCTGGATGCGGAAGGAATTACTGATGGCAGGGGAAGAATCCAGTTGAGAGTCTTTCACAGGCTGGGGTCAACCCTCTATGTACAGCACTATGGAGAGCGGTTGCCAGGCCTCTAAATCCTTGGCCAAAGGTGGCGTTGTGGGTAACCTCACCATTTGCATGTTTTGTGTGTTCTTTTAGGTCAATGGCACTGACGCAGACTATGAATATGAAGAAATCACACTGGAAAGGGTAAATATTTGCTCTTTCACTCTTTAATAGTTTGAGTGACTAATTCCCTGCCATAAGTTAGAATTCAACAGCCCCCAGCAAGGAGGAAACCTCTTCCTCTTTTTCTTGTTCTCAGTTACTTCTGCTGGTTCTGTATTGCTCAAAGGAGCCTGATGCTCCATTCTTCTGGTTTCATGCTGAGTTTTGCTGTCTTCCTTAACCTAGTTAATCCTGCCCTGTCAAAGCCACAATAGGATCTTTGATCTAGCTCCTGGAGAAGGTTACCTGGCTATTGACAAGCTCCTCTTGAATTGTCTGTTCCTTGATACTTCGGAGGCACCTATAATGATACCTTTTAAGTATTCAATTGTTTTATATATGTTAGTAGGGAAATTCTTAAGGTGAAGGAAGTCCAGCAAGGCACAGAGACTGCTCCATGGCGTTGGAGGAGCAAAGCGGGCCTCCTTCTCTATCTCCAGGATATCTGCACAGAACTGGTTTCCACTGCTTTTCTGCACATCACCAAACCAGTTCACAATCTCTGAAGCAGCAAAACCCACACCCTCCTAAAATTACCTTGCTACATAAAGAAACCATAAAGAAGAATATTTAAATGCCACCATATAACCTATCTGGCTGAGGATGAGATTTTATAGTAATGTCCTAGTCAGCTTCTACTATCCAGGACAGAAATAAATATAAATTGAAAACCTCCTTCAATTTTTACAATCAGATGTTGTCCAAAGAGTACTAGGGTGCTGTCTCCACAGCCTGGGTCTGGGTCCTGAGAAACCCTTAGACCTGGCGAAGCCGGGGAGGAGGCATTACTGAAGGTCACGGGAGGCTGCTTGAGCCACCTAAGGAGGAATATCATAAGCCATTGTGCCACAGGACCCCAGCTGGTATTCAGCCCCTGTTCTTACTGGCAGCCGGTGAAAATCCTGCTGCGCTTTGAGGTGTGGGAAGATCAGAGAAGGACCAGGGCAGGGCAGTTACCATTGTTCTGGTCCGAGCTCTGGGCCAAAGGACTGTAGGCGGGAAGAGAGGTTTGGAGGCTTCAAATGTCAAGGCACATGCAGAAGGTGGTGCTGGATGGGGGGAGAGGAAGAGGAGGAGGAGGAGGCAACTCCTGGGTTACTGGCCTTAGGTATCCCAGTGGGTTCCATCTTGCTTGCATGGTGTTCAAGATCTCTTTGAAGCCATGGAAGGTGCCAGATTCCTCAGATAGAGAAATAAAGATGCATACTTAATCTGTGGGAAGTGTCGCTGGATTGAGCGGCTCTTATTCCCATTCCATCCAAAGAGCTTTTAGTCCTCCCATTAGCCTGCTGGCCCCATTCTCCCCCTTTCCCCTCCCACTGCAGCGGAGAGCCTCTCTGCCCCTTGTTCACGCCGAGAGTCTCCGTGGAGAGATGTTGATGAATGTTGATGAAGGTTCTCAGTCATCCAGGTGGAATTATCTGGAGGTTGAGTCATGGCAACTGAACTTCTTTTCTTTTGGTCTGATACATTTCACTGTTTGTCCAAGCAGCTTCTTCAGTCTAGAAAGTTGGTTGGGGGGAGAGAAGAATGCAAGCAGATATTCCTCCTATGCTGCAGGAGGAGACTTCATGTGACAGAGCAGAGTCCCCCTTTTCCTGTCTGACTCTCATTCAGCCACTGGCATTCATTTTTTACATCTCCCACCTTTTGGCAGGCTTTCAACACTGCATTATCAGTAAAGGTAAGATAACACACACACACATACACACGCACCACTCCTTCAAAGAGAATTATTTGGTCCTAACAGTCCTAGGAGATTCTTTAAAAAGCAGGAACAGCTACTCTTCTGGATGGGTCATTTTCTGGTCCAAGATCAGCTCTTTTCATTGTCCCAGGAGTCCAAATGAGAATCTCCCACAGAAGTCCAAGTTGGGTCCCACAGCGTCCTTCCCATTGCTCCAAATGTAGTAGCAAGAATGAGAGCTCCTGTTCACATCATTAACTGAAATTCTAAATCCAATATTTATTGCTCATACCGCACATTTGAAAGGACAACTTTGGATTTACACCAAATACTGCTCTGCATACTTACACCACTCTAACACTGTAGGCTTCTTGATTTGTCCTTTGGCTGTTTTGACCAGGCAGCTTGGGGCGGCGGAGGCTGCAATTCCCCAGCCTCCAAAGCAAAATATTTCAGACTGGAAGGCACAGAGAGGCTTATGTTTGCTTCTTAAAAGTGTGTAAGTTGGCTGAGGGATCTCTTCCAGCTTAGGTTAAACTTTAAAAAGCTAGTGCAGTTACGCACTTGCTGAAATGAGCGTGCAGTATTTGATTGCAAACAGAAGCCTTGTGTTGCATTTCCTGTCTGGCAAATCCAACCCTCTTTTTTAAACATTCCACAATGTTTTATCAAGTAAAACCCAGATTAGAGCAACTCTGGTTGTCACCTTTCCAGCCCCCACTTTCATAGGTTCAGCCCACATCTTAAGTCCTCACAGCCACATACTTCAGGGCTCAGAGTTGGTATGTGCGTGGAGGACAGGTATGGTTAAGCAGAAACAAGCCGAAAAGGAAATTGGGCAGAACGGACTTGTGAATTCCTGTGGGAGGCTGGCTCTTTGAACACCTCTCTTGATGGGAATACAGACAGGAGATGGTTTCCCATGTTGGCGAGGCAAGGAAGCACAGCGGGGAGAGCAGGGCTGGCTTGCGTTCAAATTCTCTCTCAGCAGCCTGGGGCTCCTAAGCTGGTTCCATCCAGAACAGGACCTCCCTCCCTCCCACCATCCTTTCAGACCCTACCCGGCCCTCTCTCTGTAGGATGGGCACTCAGACCACCCGAGGGCTCCAGTGTGGTAATCAGGCATTGTTTTTTCAGGGCAATTCTGGACTTGGCTTTAGCATCGCAGGAGGTACAGACAACCCACACATTGAGGACGACTCTGGTGTGTTCATTACAAAGATCATCCCAGGAGGAGCAGCTGCCCAGGATGGGAGGCTGCGGTAGGTCCATTCTTCATGCCTTTCCTGCCACTGCTGCTGCTTCCTGTCATGTGGGTGGAAACTGCAAGGAGCAGCCCGGGGGGTGCCTTTCCCTGCCTCAGCGGTGCCGTTATTGTCATCCATCTCTCTCTGATGGGTTGTGTTCACACAACACGTTAAACCTGGTTCTTGAATTAACCCGTTTTACTGGATTGGCACAATCATTAAACTGCGCTCATGTAGCATCGCAGTCTGGCAGCTGGAAGGAACCTTAGATGTTGTCTAATCCAACCTAGTTCAGTGCGGGAATCCAGGAAACCAACTCAGATGGGAGTGGGGTGGGCAGGCACCCAGTTTGTGTTTGCAAACCTTCAGCAGCTCTTCTAGCCAGACTGTCAGGGAATTCTAGGCTGCTCACCCGCTGTTCCTTGACCGGCTCTCAGTTTCAAAGGGGGCAGGTCCACCCTTGTTTCACCCAAGACTGCTATCATCTCTCCCCTTTAAGCTGTGCAGTAACTCCATGGCTTTAACTGCTCCGCGTAAGGAGCCTGGAAACCGAGCCGTATCATCCCAGCCGCGCCCCTCTGGGCCTGCTCCAGCTTCTGTGCCTTTCCGAGTGCAATGCCCAGAACTCCAGGTGTGGCTTGGCCAGCACAGAGCACCGTGGAAGTATTTTCTCCCATCACCTGGATGCAGTTCACCTGCTAATGCAGCCCCTTCCCAGTTGAACATCCTCCTTTGAATTTGTCCCAGTGCTGAGGCCGGTCAGTCTAACCAATCTTCTTAGTTGGTGTCATTTGCAGACCTGATAAAAGCATCCTTTCTGTTCCATTTCTGACAGTGTTGAGAAACACTGAGCTGAAGAGGGAGCCTAGTGATACAGACCTCCAAGATAGTGCAGAAGAACTGATTGTGATTGATCACTCACATGCAAAGAGACAGCACTTACTAGCCCACATTTAGAGAGAGAGAGAGAGAGAGAGAGAAAGTTATTTTTTCAAACTCCAAGAAGCCAGAAATCTGCCCATAGAAAAATACAAAGTTCTTTCTTTATAAGAATCGTTTCCCATTGCCCATTCTGATTCCATCCTAGGAAAATTCTCTCTACATAAAATAGTAAAACCAAATAGAATAGTGGATGGGAAGGAGATAATATATACTCAGTCTCCAGAATTAATACAAAGATCATCTGATAAAGAGGGTATAAAGTAGGTCAACTTTGCTTTATGAACTCTTTTTCCTCCTGCAATACTGTTGTCACTGAATTAAACCTGCCTTGCTTTTTTCATGTTATTCTCTTTCCAGAAATGAAAAGCTGTACCAGAGTTCTCTAGCATTCAGACTTCTTAATCTGAACCCCTTTGAAAGGCTGTGTCAGTGGCTCTTTGAAACATCTTACTTAACTGATGTTATTAAGTTAAAAAATAGTCTTGGTTCATTTTGATGGGTGTATTTAGCTTATAGAGAAGATGACTGAGGGGAGAGCTGAAGGGTTGTCCTACAGAAGAAGGGACAGAGGAGTGGATTAAAGGTGCAAGAAAGGAGGTTCAGACTGAGGAGGAACTTCCTGACTATACAAGCTGGTAGCCAGTGGAACAGGCTGCCACATGACTTGATGGGTGTCCCTTCGCTGGAGGCCTCTGACAGAGTCATCTGTCAGAGATGCTGTGGCGGATCCTGCACTGAGGTCCTTTCCAACTGTGATTCTGTGAAAAAGGGACACCGATCTCTGGCTACAGTTCTGAGACTCTAGTAGTGCCGGCCTATGGATCTTGCCTGGCAGTAGTTTCCACAGCGTGGACTTACACCTTAATAAGATTGGATTGGCTCAAGTGCTATCAAGTAAATGTATGCAAGCAGACCTTCCATTCAGACTGTTTATCCAGTTAGTGTACGTGGCATTCTGTGCTGAGCATTGCTTACGCCAGTGCCTGACGATTGAGTGAATGTCGTGATTGTTCTGCTGTGCAAGGGAAAGGAAGCAAGTGTGAATGCCAGAACTACAGTGGATTGTGCCTGGGAAAGTGGTGTTTGGCAAAGTTCTGATTGAAGGGATGCGAGAAGTGACACTCAGCATAGTTTAATTCTGTGCTGGGGAAGAAGTACGCATTACAAATTTTTATCTTCAGCAGGTCATGGAGAAGTGGCTTTATGTTTCATCTGTTTATGCCTCTAGGATCCGGTGAATAGATCAACAGACAAACAAGTTGAAAACTCTTATCGATGCAGGACAAGATGTTTATTGTACACTTTTTGATTTAGAGAAACAGTATGGTAAAGCAAATAGGTTTAAGTGTGGCATGTTTTTCATGAATATGGAGTTGAGAGTTGATTGCTGAACGTGGTAGGAATAGAAAGCGGTGGAAAGTAAAATAGCGTTCTTAACAAATGATTCAGCATTGAGCAGGGAGCAAGGCAAGGTGGGCGATGTCCCCTTGGTTCCTGAAAAGGGCCCTGAAAAAGAAAGAGGTGAGAAATGTAAAGAACGAAGGACAAGGGTTTGTGAACGGGCTTGGTGGAAGCAACGTGAATGACTTGTAAGGATGGAGATGCACGGGATGGACAGAGAGTGGCATTGGTGGAAATGAATTTTTAGCTCTGTCTTCTTTTTCTGATCATATGCTTGCAGTTTCTTTGGCTCACTGTTTCTTACTCCTTTTCTGCAGTCTACATAATGCTGCTTACCCAGAAAGAGAATAGTGTGATGGGCACGCATGTATGTACATAAAATGATATGCACGCATGTTAGTTACTTAAATAGATAAGGCATAATAAGTTGCAAAACCTAAGAGCCATATTAATCAAACTCAGCATATTATATGTATGCATCTGCTAGGTTTTCTAACTTGACCTGGTTAAATGTATTGTGTGAACACAACTACTTGGGGAGTGGGGCAGTTAAGTGGAGGCTTGTATTCAGAATGACAGTACTCGTCATAAAATTGCTGAAACACCCTGCAAGGTTGCAGGCATGGAAGGCTTTGCTGTTTCCCAGGTGCCAAACAGAAGTTTTTGCAACTGAGCCCAGGGGTTTGTGGAATGTGGCAGTGCCTGGAGCTTCAGAAGGAGCAGGAACAGCTGTCATCCTTTGCAGCTAGTAGGGCCAAAAGTAGGGCTGGCTGTGATTGGCAGGAATTTTAATTTGACTCATCTGGAGGGCAGCCAAGTGGGGAATATCCATACGCTCCAGAACCATATTTACCCCTATGTGCTGGGGAGACCTTACTCTGCCTCCTCCCTTCACTCTTAGTCCATGTTTTATAGATGAGGCTGCCTAGAAAAGTTTAGTGAGTGAAGCTTGGTTCTCTTCAGCAGCCCCAAGGAAATCAAGTGCCTGGAAAAGTTTGTCCCATATTGTTAACTCTGCCAACATGCAGAATCCTGAAATAGAATTGCTTGGCAAGCACGAAGAACTGAACAATATTGTTGATGTCTTTCCTGGTCCCTGGAGGCTGTGGGGGTCTGGATGGGGGACAACAGGCTCTGGCTGGACCCTAGCAAGACTGATTGGCTCTGGGATTTTGGGCCTTCTGGATCAGGGACTTTGCAGTCTTCGGTATTGTCCCAGACAGACCCAGTGCACAATCTGTGGGTCCTTGTAGACCCACGACTCCTGCTTGAGGAGCAGATAGCAGTCGTGGCTAGGAGGGCCTTTGTACAGCTTCATGTTGTGAGCCATTTGCGTCCTTTCCTGAGGCTCTACTCACAGTTACTCATGTGACTCAGTTACCTGGTCACCTCCAGAGTGGATTATTGTAACACACTCTACATGGGGTTACCCTTGAAGAGTATCCAGAAGCTTCAACTGGTGCAGAGTGCAGTTGCTTGGACAGGATGGTACACGTTACACCTCTGTTCTGCGAGATGCATTGGCTACCGGTCTGCTTCTGGGTGCAATTCAAGGTGCTGGTTTTGACCTTTAAAGCCCTGAATGGCATGGGAGCAGGGTATTTGAGGGCCCACTCTTCCTGATGACATCTATCCATCCCGTCAGATCCAGCAGGAGAGACATGCCGCGGGTCCCATCAGCTAGGGAGTTTCATTGGGCGGGGCCTAGGAGAAAAGCCTTTTCTGCCATAGCCCCCACCCTGTGGAACATCATTCCCCCTGAGGTAAGGTTAGCCCCATTCCTGCTAGCCTTCCAGAAAGCCTGTAAGAGGTGGTTCTTCCAACAGCTTCAGGATCCCGTGAGGAGCCTGCGAGATGGCTGCATTGTGCTGAGATGGTTGTTATTCTCCCGCAATCTTGTTTTTTATTTACGTTTTTAATCGTTATATATTGTTTTTAACTGTTCATTGGTTGTATGCCACCCAGAGTCATGTTTAGTGAGATGGACGGCTATATAACATCTAGGAGAATGTATATGTATATTTGTCATTCTTAAAACCTTTTTACCATACTCAGAGCCATTTCCAATTATAAATAGCAGAAAAATCCCTGCTGTCAAGCTTTCCATCTAAAGGATATAATAAAGGAAGAAAAGACAGCCAAAAGAGAACATTTGGGCACTTATTCTTAATGTCTCAGAATGGCTAGCTGTATTGTTTATTTCAATATTTCATTTGGGAGACTTGTTTCTCCATTTCTTCTTCCCAAGCCTGGGAATTATGTTAGGCAGGAAGTGAATGGCTGGCACAGGGTCATTACTTACTTTGCAGGCAACTGAGACCAACTACATGCCCCAGAGCCAAGAAGACCGACAGGCCTCCTTGGCCATCCAGCTGGTGATCTGCTTGAGTTAGGTTTGGTAGAAGGCACCTGGTTTCGCTTGAATCTACAGCTAGCTGAAAACAGTGGAAGTGAATCATTGCCATATACAGTGGTACCTCGGGATACAAACTTAATCCGTTCCGTGACTCTGGGCGTATCCCGA